TTCAGATTACCACTTGTTCTGATCAATGGCACACACACACTTTCTGAGCAGCACTTCAAAACATATGAAAAAGTAGAAAATTGGGTTTCTGAATGGTGTGCCTCAAAACAAGAAAAGTTCTATTGGGAAGGTATCCACAAATTACCTGAAAGATGGGGATATGTGTAGGTAGCAATGGACATTACTTTGAATAAAGCAATTTTGATGTTTCTCTTGAAATTATCATGGGGTTTTTTTATTACAAAATCCGCCATTATTAACTGCTACACCTAGTAGAAATAAAATACAGAAAAACTGCCTTAATAATCAATGGATGACTCGCTAGAGAGACCCTGATAATGGAGGACCAAAAGTGGAGACTGCATAGAGACTGGTAGGAGGGGCAGAGTGGAGAAAGGGATGGCCGGGCATCCACAGATAGCAACTGGAGTTCCCGAGAGATATCTCAGCTGTAGGGTTAGCCAATGAGAGCTCTGGGGTCTAATCACCAAGCGGTCCTCCCTCCCCCTGTCCCTGTAAAGAGCACCAGAACTGAGAAGGGTACCCACATAACATCTGGGTGAAAAGCACTGGAGTTGCTGTCTGCCAGGAAGACATGGTGGAAATTCAGGCACCCTCTTAAAGGGCCAACACACAAAATTCCCTGTGTAACCACCCACTTTGTGCTCAGGCAGAGGGAGGGAAGAGTGGACTAGAGCTGTGGGAGCAGAAGCCAGGATCAGGGGCTCTGGGGTTAGAGCTCAGAAGGCAGACACCATGGTTTCCTGTGCTGAGTCAGTCCCCTATGAAGCAGAGAACATCTTTCCCACAAAGACTTTTGCTGTACAGCAGGCTTTGCCTGGGGGGAAGACAGTTGACCCACCCTATTGAAAAACACCTTGCCCCACAGTGCTGAGTTCCTGAGGTCACTTAAGAGGCTAAAAATAATAGTTAGCCTCCAAGTAGAAGCATCTTCCCCATCCTGTTGAAAAAACCCTCTTGCCACACCTGAGGACGATTGCCTGAGGGCAATTCAAGTCAGAATCCTTTCAGTCTGCAGGCAGAGGCAGTCTCTGGAGGCTTTAAGTCTTTGCCTGATCTAATTAGTCAGAAAAAGCGTTTGACACAGTTCTGCACTAGAAGCTGAGAGGTGTAGCAGATGTACTTAATACACAGTGACAAACCCAAACACACAGACAAAAGGAGGAGACAAAGAAACCATCCCCAAAAGAAAGAACAAGAGAATTCTTCAAAAGAAGAGATAAATGAAGCACAGATAAGAAATTTATCTGAAACAGTTCAGGGTAATGATGGTAAAGATGCTCAACACCATGCAAAAAAGATACAGTAACTTTGACTCTGAAAACAGAAATAACGAATGACATACACACATAGATAACACCTTGGAAGGAATACATAGCAGATTAGGGGATGCTGAGGATGGAATAGTGAATTAGAAGACAGAGTTGGAAAAAAATCACTCAATAAGAGAACCAATAAGAAAAACCATTAAAAAACAATAGAACAGCTTAAGGGCACAGTGGGACAACA